ATCAAGATAATCTTGTAGATTTTGTCCTTTATTACTATGGTATATTACATTGTTTGATTTCAAATGTTGAACCAAGCTTTCATTTTGGGGATAAATTTTACTTGCTCATGAGTATAATCCTTTTTATATGTTGTTTCATTTGGCTTGCTAATATCTTGTTGAGGATTTATGAATTGTTATAAATAAGGGATATTTTTTATACTTTTCTTGTGATGTCTTTGGTTTTGGTATCAAGGTAATACTGGCCTCTTAAAATGATTTGGTAAGTAACTTTTGGGAAGAGTTTTTGAGGGATTACTGTTAATTCATCTTTAAATGTTTGTAGAATTCACCATAGTTCTAAGTTTTTCTTTGTGGGGAATTTTTTGTTTTATTTGTTTTTAATTTTTATTATTGATTCAATCTCTTTACTTATTAAAGATCTATTCACATTTTCTACTTTTTTTAAGTCAGTTTCAGTAGTTTTGGTGTTTTCCCATTTCACCTAGGCTTTCTAATTTATTGGCTTACGATTGTTCAGAGTAGCGCCTTTTCTTCACTTCTTTATGTTCAGTGTAATGTTCCTTCTTTCATTCCTAATTTTAGTAATTTGTGTCTTTTTTATTGTTGTTAATATAGCTAAAGGTTTGTCCATTTTGTTCATCTTGTCAAAGAACCAACTTTTGGTTTTAGTGATCATGTCTATTGTTTTTCTGTTCTGTCTTTTGTTTCTGCCCTAATCCTTATTATTTTCTTCCTTCTTGCTTGGGTTTAATTTGTTGTTTTTCTAGTTTCTTAGAGCAGGTTAGGTTGTTGGTTTATTTCTTCTGTTTTAACATAGGTGTCTACACCTATAAATTTCCCTCTAAGCACTGCTTTAGCTTCATACCATACATTTTTTTTTACGAGTTTGCAAGATTTACTTTAATCATTTTTTTCTCCTAGTCATTGTAGGTTTCTTTTTTCTTTTTTTAATTATTGTTACGTTAATCACCATACATTACATCATTAGTTTTTTTTAATTTTTTTATTGTTATGTTAATCACCATATATTACATCATTAGTTTTTGATGCAGTGTTCCATGATTCATTGTTTGTTCATAACACCCAGTGCTCCATGCAGAACGTGCCCTCCTCAATACCCATCACCAGGCTAACCCATCCCCCTACCCCCTCCCCTCTAGAACCCTGTTTGTTTTTCAGAGTCCATCATCTCTCATGGTTCATCTCCCCCTCTGACATACTCCCCTTTTCTTCCTCTCCTGTTATCTTCTTCTTTTTCTTTTTTCTTAAAATATGTTGCGTTATTTGTTTCAGAAGTACAGATCTGTGATTCAACAGTCTTGCACAATTCACAGCGCTCACCGTAGCACATACCCTCCCCAATGTCTATCACCCAGCCACCCCATCCCTCCTTATTGTTATGTTAATCACCATATATTACGTCATTAGTTTTTGATGTAGTGTTCCATGATTCATTGTTTGCGTATAACACCCAGTGCTCCATGCAGTACGTGCCCTCTTTAATATCCATCACCAGGCTAACCCATCCCCCCACCCCCCTCCCCTCTAGAAACCTCAGTTTGTTTCTCAGAGTCCGTAGTCTCTCATGGTTCGTCTTCCCCTCTGATTCCCCCCCCCATTCTTCCTTTCCTGCTATCTTCTTCTTTTTCTTTTCTTTTTTAACATATAATGTATTATTTGTTTCAGAGGTACATATTTCTGAAAAAACATACACTTTCTCCATATTACCTTAACTCAGTGATTGAGTTTTTAAATTAATAGGGTTTATTTAAAAATTTAAAATTTATTTCAACACTACAGCAGTTAAGTCAATGACATTTTGTTATATTTTTCCCATGCAATAGCTTCATACCATACATTTTGTCATGTTTTCATTTTCATTCAACTCAAAGTATTAACTTCCCTTGTGATTTTCTTTTTGACTCGTTTGTTTAATTTTCTCATATATGTGACTTTCCCAAATTTCCTTCTTTCATTAATTTCCAATTTTATTTCATTGTGGCTGGAGAACATACTTTGTATTATTCCAGTCCTTCAAATGTATTAAGAGTTGTTTATGGCCTAACATACGGAACATTCTGGAGAATGTTGCATATGCTCTTGAGAAAAATGGTATTCTGCTGTTGTTGGGAGGAGTGTTCTATAGATGTCCAGTTCTTTATAGTGTTGTTCAAGTCATGTCTCCTCATTGATTTTCTAGTTGTTCTATTCATTACTGGAAGTGGGATATTAAAATTTCCAACTATGTTGAATCATTTCTCTCTCCCTTCAATTCTATTAGTTTTTGCTTCATTTATACTGGGACTCTATTATTCTTAGAGGCACATATATTTATAAATGTTATATTTTCTTGATAGATTGACCCTTTTTTCAGTATGTAATGTCTCTTTTAGGTTCCTGGACCCAATTACAACATGTCAGAGGGTTCCCACACACACAACACCAAGAATTTTTGGAAACCAGAAAGGTGTCCAAGAATTCTACTCAATTCTTACACTACTACCTAGAGCTAGCATTTAGTCCTACAAGACTGCCCCCACTCCTGAACTCCTACTTCAGACACCAGTGGCACACTCCAGATTGTTACACCAGGCTCTTGTGCTTCTGACCTGTTGGCTATAGATTGGAGGTTCCAACAACCTCCTCCTTAGATTCTTTTAATTTGCTAAAGTGGCTCACAGTACTTAGGGAAATACATTTACCAGTTTATGAAAGGATATGATAAATGATACAAATCAACAGCCAGATAAAGAGATACATAGGATGAAGTATGGGGAAACAGCAGTGAGCTTCCATGCCCTCTCCAGGGGCACCACTCTTCCTAATTTCCATGTGTTCACCAACCCAGAAGCTCATGGAACCCAGTCCTTGGCGGGGGTGGTTTAGGGAGGCTTCATTGCATAGTCATGATGGACTAAGTCATTGACCACTGGATGATTCAGTATTCAGTCCCTCTTCCCTCCCTGGAGGTTAAAGGCTAGGACTGAAAGTTCCAACCCTCTAATCACATGGTTGGTCCTCCTGGCAGTCAGCCCCTACCCTTGGGTGGGTTCCAGAAGTCACCTACATTAATAACAAGACACCCATTTCACCTTATGGCTCTGAAATGTTTTCAGGAACTGTGGATGAAGGCCACATATATCTGAGACATATATTTTGGTTGTCTGAATGACCAAATATATTTCTTATAAACCGTTATGATAAAAGGTCTTCTTTATCTCATGCATTTTTGTCTTAATGTTTATTTTGTCTAATGTTAGTACAGCCACTCCAGCTCTTTTCAGGTTACTGTTTACATGATATATCTTTTTCCATTTTTTTACTTTCAACTCATTTGTGTCTTTGAATCTAAAATGTGTCTTTTATAAACAGCATACAGTTGGATCTTTTAAAAAATTCATTCTGCCTTTCTCTGCTTTTTTTTGGTGGAGTGTTTAATCCATTTATATTTGTCATAATGACTGATAAGGTAGGATTTACATCTGCCACTTTTGCTCTTTATTTTTTTTGTCTTACATGCTTTTTATTCCTCTCTCTCTCTCTCTCTCCATTACTGCTGCCTTCTGTGTTAAGATACTTCTAGTGTACTTTTTAAATTCCCTTATTCTTTCTTTTACTATATAATTTTGAGTTATGGGTAATAAAGAGAGTTACAAACATAAACACCTTTTATATGTACTCATGTTGCTACCTTTACTGTAGTAGCTGTATTCTTTATGTGAATTCCAGTTATTGTCTAATACCCTTTTATTTCAGCCTGAAGAACTTCCTTTAGTCTTTCTTCTTAGGGCATATTTTTCTAGCCCTAAGTCCAGGCCCCACCAAAGAGTGGACCCTGGTCCAGGCCCACACAATTTTAATTGGGATTAGAGAGAATTTACATTTTAGCAATTGATCTTATACATGAACATGGTATATCTCTCCATTTTATTTAGGTTTTTAATTTTTCTTACCAGTATTTTATAATTTTGAGCATATTGAATATTGGACATATTTTTTTTTAGATTTGTACCAGAGAATTTCATGGGTTTTGATACTATTACAAAAGGCATACTTTTAAGAAATTTCCAATTATTTATTGCTAGTATATAGAAATACAGTTGAGTTGCATCCCTTGTATCCTTCAGCCTTACTAAAGTCACTTATTCTGGTATCTTTTTTGTACAGTTTTGTGGGATTTCCTATGCAGATGATCATACCTATTGTAAGCAGAGATATTTTTATTTCTCCATTTCCAATCTTTAGGTCTATTGTACTTTTTCTTGCCTTATTGCATCAGCTATAGCCTTCTGTATGATAATGAACAGGAATAGTGAGAGTAAATATCCTTGCTTTTTTCCCAGTGTTAGGGGGAAACATTCAAGTCTTTTACTATTAAGATTGATATTAGTTGTAGGTTTTTTGTAGATACACTTCATCAGGTAAAGATGGTTCCCTTTCATTTCCAGATTGCTGAGTTTTTATCATGAAGTAATAAATTTTGTGAAATGCTTTTTCTCCATCTATTGAGATGGTCATACATTTTTTCTTCTCTAATCTATTGATGGTAGTGAATTATACTAATTAATTTTGAATGTTCAACAAGCTTTATATTGCTGGGATAAACTTAGTCCTGGCTTGCTATCCTTTTTATATATTGCTGAAATCATTTTACTACTATTTGATGGAGGCTTTCTGCATCTATGTTCATAAGCTTAAATTAATATTTAAGTAAATACCAAGTACCAGAAGGTCTTCTACTTCTAGTAAATGTAAACAATGTAATTTGTCATAGCCCTCCTGCTGAAGACAACTAGAGAAGCTGAAAATTTTTAAAAGAAAAGAAAAAAGTTTACAAAATCATCAGAGCTATCAGACTACAAATCCCTGCATTTAGAGACAGGAGGACATGTTCATACAATAACTTCTAAATTACAGTTAAAAGTGTCATTTTTAAAACAAGATAATATTTTTGGATCTAGCATAAATAGATTTCTTTTCTCCTTTGTGTTTCAAAGGTAGATATAAATGCATTAACCCACAACCTGCAGACTCTAGAGGAAAAGAATAAGCACCTGGCAGAACAAATGGCTTCCCTAGAACTTCAGCAAGTCACTTCTGATTATAATGGGGTGGGTATAAAAAGGTCAGTCTAAATTAGGAGTTAATGCCTGATGAGTTTTTAAAAATCAGAAGTCAGAAGATGGGTTTTCTTCATTTGTTTGCATTTTAATAATTATTATTAAGTCCTGAATAACTCAGGCTAAATATAGCAGAGAGCCGTATGAGTACTCAAACAATAAAAGATTTAAGAAAACAAGAATTTAAGGTAGCTATTAAACATCTGCCTCCACAGATGATCTATAATACTGAAAAGCACAAATATTTATAATGTTTTAAAATATTTCCTCTTCCATAAATTATGAGGAAGAAACTTACATGTTTTTCTTTTCCTTGTCTGACAGTTCTGTTAGGCAATCAGTAATAAGTACAATTTCTAAAAGCTGTTTGACAAGGTCAGTGCAAAACAAATAAATGGTAGAGTTTGTAAAACATCTCTCAGGGAAGGGTATTTAAAGAGATGGTCATTCTGTTAAGCAGCTAATGAGTTTTCCTTTGTGCTTTTGAGTACTTGAAAAAAAAATTGTTTCTATAGAATGCAGATCACCTTTGAAAATTGCATAGAAGGCTCCGATGTGAGTCTGTCTTAATCTGAGTTAAATTCTTTCAACCTCTGTCGTAAGCTTCTCATTACTTCAACTATGAAAACCTGGAGAGTAAGTCTAAATCCATTACATTTTCATAGCTTTAGAGCCAGACTGCCTGTGTTTCAATTTTGGCTGTGACCTCTCTGAGCTTCAGTTTCTTAATCTGTCAAAGTGGGGAAAATAATACCATTATTAGGAAGTTGTCTGAGGATTAAGTATGTTAATACATGTTAAGCATGTAGCATATAACTACCATTTATTGAACTTTTAGTATCTGAACCATCCCGGAAAAAAGGCCTTTAAGTTGCTATTAGAGCAACATGATACTTTAGCTCTAATTCCTGGTACTATCTCAGACCAGTACTCCCTCCCCCAAGATTAAAGTTTATCCATGTCCTCTGCTTGCTCATTGGCCATGCATCAGCTGGGCTTATCAACCCACCTGCTTCTGGTCCCTCTGGAAGACCACATCTCAGTCTGCCTGATTCTTTCATCCCCCTCTGCCCGTGAGTAGGCCTGTAGCCTCATCCTAATAATGATTTTGACAGATCCTGCCAATGATTTGATCAGTGTTGATTCTTGCCTGCTCATAGCACCTCTTAAGGTCTCTCAGTGATAAAACAAACCTAGTTCCATCTTGCAGTTCTGTGTTTCCACATAGAATTTTCTCTGACCACGCCTGCCTGGAAGCCCTCCTGTGGGCTGTATGAGTCTTGAGAAATGCGGTTGAGGTGTCAGGATTTGGGGTGTTTTTTTTTTTTTTTTTAATCTCAGCAATATCATTAAACCTATCACCATTCAATGTTGGCAGTGTATTTTTGTTCTTTGGGAATTAACACTTGAAATTCTCAATAAGAACTACCTTCTAAAATAACCTCTTACTGGATTTTGGAGATAATGCTTATGAGTGTGTGTTGTATATGCCACACCACAGATTTGAATTCAGACAGACCTGGTTTCAACCCTTGGTTCCATTTACTGTGTGACTTGTGCAGGCCTTAACCTCTATGGACTTTGGGACTGAGGAGATCCCCCCTAACCATGGGGTTCCCACAGCATACTGTGCATATACATATCAAAATAATAATTTCATTGATTAGAAATTGATTAGAATTGATTATGTATCTGCCTTCACTCTTCTAATGCAAGAACTGTAGTTACTTATCTTTATACTCCCTTACCTAACATAGCACTCAATACATAATAGGTATTTGAGAAAGATTGATTCAGTGGAACATAAGGAGGGTCATGTCTGTCTTGCCAGGATATGAGGATTAAATGTCATATTGTGTGTAAAGTGCTCATCACAGGGCCTAGCTTACTTTATCCATGTTTAAACAGTATTCTTTTTTTCTTCTTGACACTGATTTTGGGGTTATTTTTATTTTGGCCTTTACTATAATTTAAGTCTTTCACCACAGGCAGTCATTCAGGGAACCATAGTGAGGAATGATGAAAATGGGGGAAGCTTACTATTCCTGAGTTCAAGTTAAATACTCTCCTCACTTCTCTTTTGGATTTCAAATGATAGCACTAGACAGAAATACAGTTCCCTACACAGTTAGGACTTTAATGATTTGAAATCATTAAAAAATGAATTAACTGTATTTCTTCTCTCTCAAATAAAATCTTAAGAATAAATAAATAAATGTATTTCTTAAAACTAAGATGACAGTCAGTGTACACTTGGGCAGGTGTCAAAGTTGGTTCTGTTTGCTGTGGCCCATGCAAACTAGTTGTTAAATATTTTTTTAAAAGATTATTTGAGAGCAAGAGACAGAGATAGCAAGTGAGAACATTGAGCGGAGAAGGGAGGGAGAAGCAGGCTCCTCCCTGAGCAGGGAGCCCGATGTGGGGCTCAATCCCAGGACGCCGGGATCATGACCCTAAGACAAGGCAGACACTTAACCAACTGAGCCACCAGGCACCCCTAGTTGTTAAATATTTTGAATAAAGTCCCTGCTTACAGGAGCGCCTGGCTGCTCAGTCAGTAGAGCATGCAACTCTTGATCTCGGGGTTGTGAGTTCAAGCCCCATGTTGGGTGTAGAGATTACATGAAAATAAAATCTTTAAAAAAAAAAAATCCCTGCTTACAATCTGCCTATAAAATAGCTTTACCAAGATGCTAGTGTCTTTTGGCTTTATGTATTCTAACAGCTTCTGCTAACTTTCACAGCTTACCTAAATTTTTTTTTGAAGATTTTATTAGAGAGAGAGAGCAAGGACGAGCAGGGGGAGAGGGAGAAGCAGAGTCCCCGCTGAGTAGGGTCAGCTCACCTAAAATTTAAAAATGATTTTAGAAATCATTCTGTGGCTTTCGGTTGAATCCTTGTCAACCTTTCTTTCATATCTTAAGATAATTCTGTTTGCTTCCTGCTTTTTCCAAGTAGTGATATTTTTGAATCAGTTAAAATGCATATTTTAACCATTAGCATTTTTCTTTGTATGGTAATTCTCAAATGATTCTCCAGTTTCTATTTTGCTTTGCATATTAATAATCTTTATAGTATATTGACAAGATTATTTAAGCAAAGGTTAATCTCTGTCCTTCCACAACTCAGAATCCGAGATATTCACTCATTCAAGTGCTCTCTAATTTCTGGTCTTCCATTAATTCTCTTTAACATAAGGCCTATTTAAATAATCTGGAAACAATAATTTAAATTACTGCCTTAATATCTGCTTTCCTTTAGCAACTAGAACAATTTCTTTGTTGTGAATTTAAATAAGTGACCTTGTGTCAAATATTAACTTAGACACTTTACACTTACCACTGCATTAGCATTCTTTTAGGTGACCAAAAAAGGGAAAATTATTTTTAAAGTATACTTAAAAGATTAATAGAATTTCTTTATGCCTTTGCTTAAAAGAGGGAATTTTATTGAGGTAAAAGTGCCATTATTTAAAAAATTCCTGGACACCTTTTATAAGAGACCCAGATCATCTAAGTTACTGCAAAAAAAACCCTTTTCATATTCCAAAACTGCAAGCAGTTATCTCTGTTTGTTACAGCTAGCATATTTTAGGTTAAATCTAGCTCTTGGTGTTTTATACACTGAATCTGCACTTTACAGTACATTGGGCACCTCAGTTTATAGACTTTAGAATTGAATTTTAAATAACTAAGTTTTTATGGTTATGGTATAGCTTTGTTTTTGTAGCATCATTGGCCACCCTTGTCATTTATTTTTGCTGAAGACTTAGTCAAAACATAATCCCAAATGTTGTGTTCATGGAATGTTTTTACCTCAGTTTCCAAAATAGAAAGTATTGTGGGAAAGGGGGATTTCCACTGACAGAAAATTAATTGATGATTAACTTTATGATAATATATTGTTATTAGCCGCCTATTTATTGATAACAGCCTATATTTCTCTTAGGTTATTTTGAAACCAATACTTTTTTGGTCTGAATTCTTCTAAAAAATATTTTCCTTTGCCTTAGTGGGAACCACACATAGTGATTAAAAGTGAAACTTTAATGGGGCACCTGGATGGCTCAGTCAGTTAAGCATCCGACTTGATTTCGGCTCAGGTCATGGTCTCAGGATCTTGAGATCAAGCCCCATGTTGGGCTCTGCACAGAGCCGACTTAAGATTCTCTCTCTCCCTCTCCCCTGCCCAGTCCCCCCTTGCACTCTGTCCTGTGCTGTCTCTCTTAAAAAAAAAAAAAGAAACTTTGAGAAACAATGTCTGAATATGTATAATTAATGTATGAAATAAATACTGCTGTGATAGGACAAATACTCAGATGGCCATAATAGTTAACCTACTGATGCTTAATATTGGATATAAATTTTTATATTGAATGTGCATAATTTTGGGGTAGGTTGTATAGAAAGACTAGTCACTCTAGGGAAAAACTAAGAGGCAGCAGAGGCAAATAAATATGAATCCTGGTTTTGTCACTGTAGAAATGATAAGGGTATGAATACTTGCTCAGAAAATGGTTATTCCATTCTATGCCTAGGTACTGATACCTGTGTTTGCTTTGTCAGCTTGCCCAACAGCAAGTGGAAAAGGCCTTGGGAAAAATTACTGAGAGTAAAAATAAACTGGCCTATGAAAAGGGAAAACTCCAGGTATGAGATTTTATTTTCTGATTTGTGTTGTGTAATATTTTAATCACAGTTGTCAAGTTAAATATTGCCAGGTTTTGAGAAATTCTGTAACTTTGGACCAAAGTTTTTGAACCCCCCTAAGTTTGTTGCCTTATTAATTAAAATCCAGGTGACTTCTATTCACATATCTGTAATATAATACTGAAAGTTAAAATTATGAAACCAAAGCCCTTTCTGTGACTGCTTAAAGTTGTATTATAATTGTTTTATGCATGGTCATTCGCTGAGAATATAGACAGCCCATGCTCTCATTTTTTGCTGAAATTTTGTAACATTCTTAAAAAGAACCCTGGAAATTGGGACTCAAAGGCAATAGACTTGAGTGAATGGGGTACTGTTTTGCTTCCTGTGGGCTTTATCCCTATAGTACCTACAGAGCAGGAAACTTGCCACTGATAACCAACTCCAGCGGAAATGCTGCAGTCCGAATAAATGGGTCACAGCCTTAGCTACACATTACAATTTGAGGAATTTTTTAAACACCTCATTCTGGGAAGTGTATGATGTCTGCCATTTACTTTGAAATGAATCAGAAAAAAAGAAAAAACAGTTTGGTGGATCAATAGAGGAAATTGATAGATGAATTGGTATGTGATAAGCAGGTATAAAAAAATTAATGGTAGAATTTGTGGTGAGGGTACTCACAGTCACAGTAAAATTCTTTCAATTTTTCTGTTTATCTATAAAATACAAGGGGAAAAATCTCCATGACAAGGCTTGCCCCCCAGAACAATTAGATCAGAATCTCAGGGAATAGGTCCTAGGCTTCAGTGCTTTTTAAGCTCCCCGGTGATTCTAATATGCAACCATATTTGAAGACCACTGGATTAAATGATATGAAGTGTAGTCCAGTTAGGCTTGAAAACCATAGAGCTGATTTGATTAAGTAATCTCACTACAGACATGTAAAGCATGTCAGTGTTAATCTCATCTCATTTGCTCCAGGAGCTTGTTATAGGATTAGCACACAAGATCAGCCCAGATATGTAAAAGGCAGTTGGTAAACCATGGTTGTGAAATAATAGGTTGTCCACTGAAAAATAAGGCTATTTGGCCACTGTCTGTGTGCTCTTAATATTTTCTGGAGTCAGTGATATATTTAAATATAATCATTTATATTTGTTTAACCTTGGGCAAATCTTAATTTTCTTGAATTTCATATTTTTTTAAAAAATTCAATTCCTGGGATATCTGGGTGGCCCAGTTGGTTAAACTTTGGACTCTTGATTTCGGCTTAGGTCATGATCCTCAGGGTCGTGAGATCAAGCCTTATGTCGGGCTCCATGCTGCGCATGGAGCTTGCTGAAGATTCTCTCTTTTCAGGGACGCCTGGGTGGCTCAGTTGGTTAAGCATCGGCTCAGGGTCCTGGGATCAAGCCACAGGTCTGGCTGCCTACTCAGCGGGGAGCCTGCTTCTCCCTTTCCCTCTGCCACTTCCCCTGTTTTTGCTCTTTCTCTCTTTCAAATAAATAAATAAATAAAATCTTTTAAAAAAAAAATCCTCTCTTCCCTCTCCCTCTGCCTCTCCACCCCACACCCCACTGTGCATTCTCTAAAAAAAAAAAAATTCAGTTCTTTTAAAATCTATTTATCAACATACTCAAAAATAATTGATACTTTAATATTTGTTTCTTTTTTAATGCATTCAATAACAAGATCTAATAGTGTTTTTATAAACTATAATTTCAAACTAGTGATAAGCACAAACAGCTTTTCAAGATATTTGCAGTAACTGTTATGTGATATGAAAATATCTGTGATGTCTATTGGAAACAAAGTAAGAAATTCTGCTAATACTACTGTGGTGTACTGCCTACATTTTTTTATTTTTAATTGAAACGTAGTTGACTTACAATATTATATAATTTTAGACATACAACATAGTGAATCAGTAATTATGTACATTACAAAATGCTTACCATAAGTGGAGTTACCATCTGTCACCATACAAAGTTATTATAACATTATTGACAATATTCCCAATGCTGTACTTTTCATCCCTGTCACTTATTTCATAACTGGAAGTTTGTACCTCTTAATCCCCTTCACCTAATTCACCTATCCATTCCCCCCCACCTCTGACAGCCATGTATTTATGAATCTGTTTCTGGTTTTTGTTCATTTGTTTTGTTTTAGATTTCACGTAGAAGTGAAATTATATGGTATTTGTTTTTCTCTGACTTATTTCACTTAGCATAATACCCTCTAAGTCCATCCATGTCATTCCAAATGGCAGGAGTTCATTCTTTTTCAATCTTCCCAAATATTCCAGAATATAGGAAGAGGAAGTTTTTCTTCCTCTTCAGAAACAGATTCATAAATACAGAGAACTGGTAGTTGTCAGGGGCGGGGGGTGGTGAAATAGGTGAAGGTACAAACTTCCAGTTATGAAATAAATAAATGACAGGGAAAATTACATAATATTGTATGTCAACTGTAATTAAGTTTTAATGTAGGCAGTAAACCACATTAGTATCAGCAGAACCTATTATTTTATTTATTTACTTATTTATTCATTTTAAGATTTTACTTATTTATTTGAGATAGGGAGCAAGAGCAGGGGGCAGAGGGAGAAGCAGGCTCCCTGCTCAGCAGAGAGCCCGATGCAGGGCTTGATCCCAGAACTCCAGGATCATGACCTGAGCTGAAAGCAGACACTCAACTGACTGAGCCACCCAGGTGCTCCAGAACCTGTTACTTTAAATGTTTGGTAGAAGTCACCTATGAAGTCATCTGATCCTTGACTTTTGTTTATTGGGATTTTTTTTTTTATTACTGATTCAATTTCATTACTAGTAATCAGTCTGTTCAAATTTTCTATGCCTGATTCAGTCTGGGGAGATTGTATGTTTCTAGGAATTTATTCATGTTTTCTAGGTTGTCCAGTTTGTTGGCATATAATTTTTCATAATATTCTCTTATAATCCTTTGTATTTCTGTGATATTGTGTTTATTTCTCCTCCTTCATTTCTGATTTTATTTACTTGAGTCCTCTTTTTCTTGATGAGTTTGGCTAAAGGTTTATCAGTTTTATCTTTTCAAAGAACCAGCTTTTGGTTTCATTGACCTTTTCTATTTTTTCAGTCTATTTTGTTTATTTCTGCTCTAGTCTTTATTATTTCCTTCCTTCTGCTAACTTTGGGCTTTTTCTTTTTCTAACTCCTCTAGGTGTAAGGTTAGGTTGTTTATGTGAGATTTTTCTTTTGCCTTGCTGTACACTTCCCTCTTAAAAATGCTTGGGTTGCATCCCATGTTGTTTGATTGGAGCACTTAGTCCATTTACATTTAAAGCAATTCTTGATAGGTACTTACTGGCAGTTTGCTAATCATTTTCTGATTGTGTTTGAGTTTCCCCATGAGGAGGGGAAAGCATACCTCTCATCTCCTTTTCACTAGGAAAGCTAGTCAACATTACACGCTGGGTGTATAGATTACTATTTAACCTTTTATACCTCAATTACATACTTTAGAGGTTATCCTCAGAATCTTAAGGAAAATACAACGTTTTTCTGCTCATATTCCTACAACAAGGGCTTAAGGTTTTTGATAGTCTTTGAAAGCTGTAACACTTGAAACTATTGACTCATGGTGTTTTTTATGTCATACCTTAGGTTGGCACATTCCAAAGGGACTGACTTCATCAACCCAAGGGAAAGTGCTCTTATACCATAATACTCTTGCAAGATAATTTAAAGGAAGAGCTGCATACTAAACATGATCAAAATAATCTTCTGTGTTCTCTCTACATTGAATAATTGATTAAAATATTACCTATGAATCATTTGATAAGAGATTACATTTTAGAATTGACTTAATGATTGGTATAAAGAATGGGTTTTAGCAGCTAATGTAGACTGTCAGAAACTGCTGCCCCAGATTCAAACATGGTCTGAATTTTATTTTCAGTGTAATGTACTATTCCATTTTATAAATATGCCAAAATAGATATATCCTTTCTTCTATTGATGGACATTTAGGCAGTTTCCAATTGCTTACAAACAACACCGATGTGATGAATTATTGTACATGTCTCCTTGTACTCATGTAAAAAATTCTCTAGACTAAGTATAAATCTCAAGAGGAGAATTCCTGGATTGTAGGATTACAGATCTTGAATTTTACTAGAGTTTATTAAATTACTCCTGAAAGTAGTTATACCAGTTTTGAAAGCAGTCTCTATAAAGAGTATAGAGACATGTGTTAACATGGATCAGTCTCATAAAATAATACTATATACTATTTAGGGATACCATTTATAGTAAAATTATTAAAAAGGATTAAGAATAATAAACAAAAGACCTTGCCTAAGTTACTGCTGTTCCTGAGACTGGCTGATAAGCTAGTGTTGGAAGCTGCTTGGATTTTAATCCCCACCCAGATCTCTGTGGGGTAGCACAATGTATTTGTTCTGTGTTCTTTCCCCTATGAATGTCCTGAATTAAAAATCATGCCAAATAAGACAATACAAAAATTAAAGTGCTTATAAATGAGAACATGCCATCTGAAAAGTTTCAGGACATTTCACTGTGTACCTAGAGGTTGAGTTAAGCAAAGATAAAAGAAGAATCTGGCTTTGTGGAACAGGAGAGATATCCTGAGACAGAATGTGTTTTTATGCAGTCTTTGAAAAAAACCCAATATTAGCAATCACATTTTTAACAGTTCCTGAAAGTGTCCAGTAACTATCAGCAAGAAGTGTTTATCCTCTTTAGGTAGGAAACAAGACACCCAGAGAGGGAAAAGTTGATTTAGATAAAAAAATTTTGGATGAAATTTTTTCTGATTCAGGGATAAGCTCGGTAATGTTAATTGTTGGTCTGTATGAAAGGGTGGGTAGGATAGGAAGAAAATGTGGAAAAACACAGTTTGGAGGTTAGTAAATATCAATGATTTCATTCCCCCAAATGATCATTTTCTTTAAAGAGAAAGATATGTCATCTTTCTCAGTTAGTGTTAAAGTATAATTCATTGTATAAGAACTTCATTTATTCAACTTTTATAATTCTGTCAATAAAACAAGACTGTCATCTTGCATACTGACAATTTTAATTATCCATATTCAAAATGTTTTTTGAATGTTAGATATCACAATTTTTTAATTGAAATTATTACCCACAAAGTCTCACTTTTATATTCATGAGTCATGTTAATTTGGAGTTTCCATAAGCAATAGAAACAAAATTAGTTATCTCCGTACATGTAAATCGCTATAGCCTACTTTAAGCTATTGAAATAGCTATGTTAGTTGAAATAGCATTCTTTACACGATTAGAAAAACTTGGGATTGCTTTTATAACTTTTAAGGATTCTCTGTGATTTTTCCAAAGTCGTGACATCTTATTTTTCTTTTTAGAGTTGTGTATGTGTGTGTATATATGTATAATATATATATATCCTTTTAGAGTATGTGTGTGTATATATGTATATATATGTATATGTGTATATATATATAATATATCCTTTTAGAGTATATGTGTGTATATGTATTAATATATATACACATAAAATTAATAAGCCTTATTTTATTATTCTTCTGTTTTACCCTAGATAAAAGTTAAACAGCTAGAAGAACAACTACATTCTTTTACTGAAACCAGTTCACAGAATGACCATCTACGCAAGTTGAACAAGGCTCTAGAGAGCAAATATGCTCAGGTGTGATTAATAGCTACAAAACAGATTGCTGTTATATTGTTTTAATTAGATTTTAAGAAATTGATGCCTTTCTCCCCACCTTACCATATAGTCCCAGAAAGATGAATATTCTCTCATTTGACTCAATTCACAAATATTTTTTAAACACCTCCAATGTACAAGGTTTTGATGAACTGTGAGAAAAAAAGATGCCTGAAGCAGGATTGGGACATTCAACTTATTTATGCTCTAATTGGAGGCTTAGGAATGTACTCATAAACTTTATTATAGAATTAAAAGTTAAGTCTTTCAGAAGCAAAATAATGTTATGAGTGAGCATTCATAGGGAGCATCATTTTAATGAAAGAATCAAGAAACACTTTCACAGAGGAAGAGGTTTTATAATTATTGGCAAATTCAGAACTCAGTGCCAACAAGATACACCTGCACCAGACAGCTCACATGAAAGAGGCGTTAGTATAAGTGCTTACTTGTCACCGTGGTGGCTGCTTGAAGCTGAAAACCTTTTGTAGTTCACATAAAATTTTAACACATGAATGGAGAAAGACAATGTAACAAAACCTTTAGTGAAGAAAAATAATCAGAGTAATTACATGGAAGACAACTTCATGTAAGCTGCTTGTAGTAAATGGTCCTATTTTTTCTCCCCAAGATTCACATTCCCTCTTTCACAGAAATTTCTGAAATTGTTTTGAAAATTTCAATGAACGCTTCACAAAAATGTAAAATTATCATACCTTTTCAAAAAATGCTAATATTATCAATTTGAATTCAAAATTCAGTAGTACAAAGCCACTTAACAAAACAAAGATGACATAACCCAAAACATTTACACTATTATAGGCTACACTTCACAATCATTATGGCAATAAATTAATGGTTGAAAAATAATTAAAGCCATTATTCCTATTAATAGGACACAATATAAAGCTAACTTTAAGAGCTGGTTAATTACTTAGGAGTCAGATATAGAACCTCAGGAAGAACTTTTGTCACCTCCACACACTCCCACAAAATAACTGTCCTCTCTTTTTTTTGTTTGTTGGCTTGCTTGCTTGCTTGCTTTTTCTTTCTTTTCTCCGTATTCTCCGGAATTACATAATTCAGTAGTTTCCAAACTTACAAATTTGGCCAACTATAAATATTTTTTGTTGAGAAAAAACTTCCCATGATTCTTTGTTCTTCTACATGCACCAGACAGCTCACACTTACTGCCTCTTGTTTCAGACTCTTTTCAAGAATGAATATATATAGCAAATAGCCTTGTGGGACAGAGATGGCATCATCCCTCTCCTGACCAAAGGGCAAGCATGCTTATTGTCCATTATAGAAGATTCAAGTTCCATAAACTCAGGGTTCCTCTTTTCTAATGCTACTCATTGCGTGTGCTAGTGCCATCTGGCCCTCGTATTGCCCTTAGGACTCAGGGAGTGAATGAAAATATGCTGATGCCTATGCTGTTTGTTGTGCCATGAAAATAAAGTCCTTTGTCCCTAAAAAAAAAAAAAAAAAAAGAAAAAATCCAGGAATGTGTTACCAAGAGAAAGTGATTCATTTCAACGATTTAGATTTACCATGTATGAAATTAAAAAAAAAAAAATCTTAAATACTCAGTATGTCTAACTTCTGTATCTATAATATTTTTGTTTGTATACCACTGGTAACCAAGGAGCTAGAATGTGTCTTCAAAGAGAATACTGTTAGGGTTCTAACCATCTGACTATACTGGAAAAGGGGGCCTCATTAGATACACTCTCCTACAGGGAATTCGATTTAAGGAAGGTCTGCTTCTTCACTAGGACAACTTTACAGTGTGATTTCTTCATCCTGAAAGCAAAGGAACACATTTTCAAGTATATTTTCCATCAGAGCTTCATTGAGAGTATTGTGTTGTTCCTCTTCATAAAAGGAGCACTCATTGAAAAATAACTCTAGGTTTAGTCATTTTACTGTTTTTGATTGGTGATGCCTCCAAAAAGAAGGAAATCTCCAGAGAGGCCTGCGTCTTCGAAATTGTTTGAAAGCTATAGGCCCCATGTAAACAACGTAAGGGAAAGAACTTCGTCAGTTGGTTTGCCCAGTGTTCTTCCCAACTCTGCACGCCATGTGACCTTTGCACCTACTCTGACTACTATGAGAGCTTCTCAGGAGATTGGAGACTCTAGAATCTCTCTAAAGACTCTTTTGAATGCTATTAAAACCATGGAGGGAAGACTGGAAGGTAAAATAGACATTCTTGCTTCAAGACCATTAATTAATGAATCACCAAATTTTCTTAAACGGGATTCGGTAAGTGAAGACCACAAATTAAGTCATAAGGAAATTTCAGATTTATACAACAATGAAGAAAAGTAGTAACAATCCAGAAAGATAATGTTTGGAGGTATGAGTAACAACAAGGAAGTTAGGTTCTTCACAAATAAGAAAAACTGACAATATAGATTGAAACCATCATTTTGGCTAGTACATAACTAATTTTTAGACAAAGATTTGGATTAACAATAGCCATTGAGATTTTTTTAATCTGATTTTGATTTTTTAAAAATTCAAAACCTCTTAATATTCATGGTAAAATGTTTATATAAAGGCTGCTTTTAAAATAGAAGTACATTAATAAAAGCCCCAAGAACTTGAACATTGGAAAATATTTTCCAAAGAAAACTTTTTAGAGTATCCATCTGTGCTTGATATTTAAAAACAGAAATTACTATATAGTTTGTCTTCTAGAGTTGACTACTATTTAGATCTTTTCTGTAAACATTTCTGCTAGTGGCCTTTTCATATATATCTTAAAAAATTGGTAAAATTATAAAAACTGTATTCTTCCTTGAGTCCCTTTCTAGAACAAAATCAAGTAGGTTTTCAGAGTCTGTGAATTGACATCTTTTGTAATATTCTTGGAACCTTCAAAAGTATTTCAGATGTTACAGGTGAAAAGTTTTAAGGGAGTGTAATAATGTTGAAGAAGATGTAGAGAAAAGATACTGTTTTTTGTTGCTGTTGGAAGTGTAAAATGTTACTACTTCATGTGGAGGACAATTTAGTATCATTTCACCTCACAGTTATACTTCTAGGACTTTCTCCTACAGATATACCAGCTTATACATATGACATGTTTACAAGATTATTTATTGAAGTACTGTTTGTTAATAGCAAAAGACTGGAAGCAACCAAAATTTCATCAGTAAGAGACTAGCTAAATAAATCATGGTATATTCATGGTTTGGAATACTGTTTGAACATATGTATGTATATACTGTGTATGTATATAGTATACATGTATTATATTAAAACAGTCAAGGTTCAGAAGAGTATACATAGTATTTTACTATTTGTGTAGTAAAAGGGGTAGGAGGATAAAAAATATATACAAATGTGGGTGTGTGTGTGTATATATATATACACTTTTAATGCGTAGTATAGTTCCACAATGCATCATAAATTGGCAACATTATTTTTGAGGAAGAAAACTGGATGGCAGGGAAATTTTTCACTTTACCCTTTTGTATCTTAATGTGACACCTATTCAAAGTAATTTTATGAACATTTCATTTTCAACAAAAGTGAAGGTAGAGAAAGAATGGTCTTTTCAACAAATGGTGCTGGAGCAGTTGGATATCCATATGCAAGAACAAAAAGCCTATGATCCATACCTCACACCATATGTAAAACAGGGGCACCTGGGTAGCTCATTCAGTTAAGCGCCGGACTCTTGATTTTGGCTCAGGTCATGATCTCAGGGTCATGAGATTGCCCCTTTCCCTCTGTTCCTCCTTGTGTGCTCACTCTCTCTCTCTCAAATAAATAAATAAAATCTTAAAAAAAATGAACTCAAAATGGATCAGTCTTAAATGTAAAACCTAAAACTGTAAAACTTCTAGAAGAAAACATAGGAGGAAATCTTTGTGATCTTGGATTACTCAGAGATATCTTAGATTTGACATCAAAAGCATGATCCATAAAGGGGAAAAAAGATACGATAGTTTATGCTCTTCGGCGATATTAATAGAATGAGATATAAGCTGTAGACTGGGAGAAAATAGTTGCAAATCACATATCTTTAAGGGCTTGTCTCCAGAATGCATTAAACTATCAAAACTTAATAAGAAGAAAACAACTTAATGAAAAGAAGATATGGATGATAACTAAGTACCTGAAAAGATGTTAAACATCAGGCATTAGGGAAATGTTAAAATTAAAACCACAGTGAGATAGTACGACACACCTACTAGAATGTATAAAACTGAAAAACTGATCATACCAAATGTTGTGAGGATACAGAGCAACTGGGACTCACACTGCTGAAGGGAATGTCAAATGGTACAACCACTTTGAAAAATAGTTTGGTATTTTCTTTAAAAACGAAACACTACTGTATAACCCAGCCATTCCTCTCCTAAGTATCTACTAAAGATAAAGCATAAATCTATACAAAGTCTTGTACACAACTATTCACAGCGGCTTTATTTGTAATAGCTTAAAGCTGGAAGCAACACAAGTGTCCAGAAGGTGAATGGATGAGTAAATTGTGGTATATCCTACAATAGAATACTGTTCAGCAACAGAAAGGATCGAACTATTGATACATGAAAAAGATGGAATGAATCTCAAAATAATTATGCTGAGTGAAAGCCATTCAAAAAAGAGTACATACAATATAATTCTATCTATATAGAATTCTAGAAAATAAAAACTATCATGACAGAAAACAGACTAGTTGCCTTGTGTGGAGGTGGGGGAACAAGGAGGGACAGAAGGGGGAGATTACAAAGAGGCATGAGAGAACTTTTGAGATGATAGAAACGCTTATTATCTTGATTATGGTTTCAGGAGTTTATACAGATGTCAGAACTGTATGCTTGAAATATACCCAGCTTATTGTAGGTCATTCCTACCTCAGTCATGCTGTTTAAAAAAGGATAATGTGAACGTATTACCTATACAAAAGTTAATTACGTTAAAATGTTCAACATTCTTGAAATGACAAAACTACGGAGTTCTAGAACAAATTATTGCTTGCCCTGGGACAGGGGATGGGTTTGGGAGAGTGTGTGTACACAAAGAAGTAGCACAGGTGGATTCTTTTGTGGCGGGATGGGGCAGTTCTGTATCTTGATTGTGACGGTGTTCATGTGAATAACGTGCATGCACACACACACACACACACACACAGATGAATGCAGGTTTAAAAAAAATGGGGAAAATGGAGTAAGTTCTGTAGTCCATTTAATCTGCTAGTTAACAATAATGTACCAAAGTCTTTGATGTTGAACTACAGTAGTGTAAGATGTCACCATTAGAAGCAGGGTGAAGAATACATAAGACTCTGCTGCTTTTGCGACATCCTATGAATCTAGTTATTTCAACACTTTTTAAAAAAATATTTAAAATAGTGTGATCATTTAAAATGATTGTGTAGATATACTAAAAGTATTTCAGGGATATAAAATACTAATACTTATAATTAGGATGCACTCTAACACCATTTTCTTGACTACATGGTATTTATTCGTCTTTGCTTTTGTTATAGTCTGCAAATGTTACACTCTCAAATTCCATGATAATCCATTTCTCCCCCATTTTACATCTGACCTTCATAGTCTTATCTCCCTTATCACTTAGCCTCTACTTTCCTGGAGATTGACATCTATTAGGTCTCCTCATGTTTATTCACACAGATTTTTTTATTTTTTTTATTTTTGCTTTGTAGTTTTCTTTAAAGGGAAAAATAGCTAATAAAGCTTGTGGATTTATTATAGTGGATAAGCATATTTAATTAAACATTTTAAGTTTGGTTTCCAACCTGCTGTGTCTTGTTCTAACTGCTGATTTACAGTGCTTTGTTCTCTGCTAAGGTGAAATCCATTCTTGAAAAGAATGAAGAGGAGCTCTCACAAGCCAGGAAGTGTCGGGACGCAGCCCTGAAAGAGAGCCAGAGGTTGAGAGGGGACCTCGAAGCTTTGGAGGACAGAGAGAACAAGAAGGCAAGGCCTCAGTGCTCTGTGCGGGTTTGTTACACGAGGTGCCTCAGAAATCCTTCACGAGTCCCATTCCTTCATTTCTTGTTCCCTTGAGTAAGAATGAGGATTGATCAGAGGGGGATTATTTTTCCTAAAGATAACTTTAGAAGAGCTGCGAAGTATTTGCCTTAAAAACACATCACTTAACTCCCAATCTTAAAAGAAAAAGTCCTGATTTTTTTCTGTTGAAACACGTCGGACCTTGGTAACGAAAACCTGTCGACTTCAGTGTTATTAAGACGTCACTCATCCCGACGGCTCTCCAGTGTGTTCTCTTCTGGCCCCATCGTGAGCTCACCGAGCAGACCAGCCTGGGACCCGCACATGGAGAACCGGGAAATCGTGGATGCTCTTGCCTCTGGTTGATACACACGCTGTGACGGGGCCACTGTGGGGAAGCACTGCAGTTCCCCACAGGGTGTGGGGTCTCGTGTTCCTTTTTCTCGAAGTCACAATAACTTCAGATCTTAACAAGATAAACATGCTTCCGTTGTTCCCCTTAGCATTCTACCATGCTTGCTTTCCCTACTCCTGCCTAGAAGTAATGGGACTCAGCAACAGCAGAAGAACCAGAAAGGATCAAATATCTTTGTCTTGTTTCATTTTCTCTTAGGTGGGAAACTTTCAGCGACAACTGGCAGAGGCTAAAGAAGACAACTGCAAGGTTACAATTATGTTGGAGAATGTGCTGGCTTCTCACAGTAAGATGCAAGGTGCTCTGGAAAAAGTACAAATAGAGCTTGGGCGGAGGGATTCAGAGATTGCAGGCCTCAAGAAAGAAAGGTACTGGAGATTAATTTTCTGTCTTTGTGCGTGTAGCTGTCCGCTGCATTATAGTAAGGAGCAGCGTAAAGTCAAGGAACAGTCACTCTAAACTACAGACCTAGGCCCTGTTTGAGGAAAACATCCTAGGAACTTGACCGGAAAGCAAGATCTTTCGGTGAATGCACTAACCTCGGCCTCTCGACTTCCCAAGCTGCTCTTACCTACACGCCCGGGCCCGGAGCCACAGCCTCCACCGGGGGTCCCCCGCCTCCTGCAGGGCCGTGCCTGATGCACACTGGCTGCCCCCGCAGCCTGCACCCTTCAATCCTGGCCATTCCTCCTGCCCAGTGGGGTTTTGTGCAACGCAGCGTTCTTTGTAAACCAACGTGCTTATTTGGATAGTCTTTAGTCAAGGGGAGATTTTTGTTTGGAACCAAGGACCTCCCTTCAGTCCTGAACAGGTTTTTCCTCCAATTCTGACATAGTTCCCTCTCCCTGTTTTACTACTCACTAAATGTATGAATATGACCATTCATCCCCTTTACTATGCTACACTCGTAAAGTCCTCTATTTTAGCTTTACATTTCAGAAATGGTGAAATGTAGACCTGGTCAATAAAATGCAATATTATAAAACATAAAGACCTAGAAAATTAGGGAGAATCTGGAATTAGAAATGAACATGATTTTCAAAGACTGAAAATTCCCGTACTTTGTAGTGATGTAAAGGAGTTGTATTGTAGAAGTTTGTGTGTGATATTGCTGCTTTACCTGTCCTGTTTCTACACCACTTAAACCTACTCTTGGGTCTACAGAATAATAATTGTCTAGTCTAGATAACTAAAGCTAAGTGCCTACTTGAGTTTGAATTATCTATATATTAGTGTCCTATTTAAAGATTAATAATTATTTTAGAGGAATCATTCTGAGAACCAGTCCTAGCCATGGTTTATGAGTAAACTCCTTCTTTGAATGTTTCAAATTGCATAAAAGTTTCCCCTTGAGGTTACTAAACAAATGGTTTGAGTTTAATAAGTTGTCTGAAATATATTGTAATGTGTATATTAATGGTGCATATACCCTCTGTGTTATGGGGGAACAGACGCCAGTTTTATATTCTCCATTGTACTTATCTTTATTTTTTACATATTATAAATGTATATTACCCCTGAACTTAAAAAGTTAAGGGGTTGGTATTGAAAATTGCTTGCCATTCACAATAAAATTCTAGGTAGTTGTATTTAGAAGCAAAATGTCAACAACGGGCCCATCCATCTAGAGGGGATATATTTTTGTGCTAGTGATTTGTATATATGTATAAAATTACTAGCCCATAAGTTAGTCATTAACAAGTATTGACAGCTTAATGTATCAAGCCAAATTGAATCATAGCTGGGACAAATTTTTAATCTCTGGGAGCCTTAATTCCTTAACCTGAAGCTGAAGCTACTAATTGGCACTTGCCAACTCTTAGATACTCTGAGCATCTCTACTACATATGCTCTTTGAGCTTCTTGGAAGAAGAGTGCCCCATAACTCCCAGTGGTATCATTCCTACATGGTTCTTTTCTGCAATCATTCTTCCTGCGCTTTCCATTTTTAGGGCTCTAAATCAACAGAGGGTGCAGAAGTTGGAGGCAGAAGTGGACCAGTGGCAGGCCAGGATGCTGGTTGTAGATGCCCAGCACAACAGTGAGGTAAAGGCCACTTTTTTCTATAGGTGATAATGTTGATATATTTGGTTTTTTGGGGATATTGCTCTTTTAGGAAAATGGAGCAAAATAATGAGTAAAAAAAAGAAATAATTCTTTGTTCATCCAAGTCTGAGTTTTGGTTACAAATGGGAAGTGGGCCTGCTGGAGCCTTCCAGGGAGTCATTTACTGGCAAACCAGGACCACAGTTATGCCTAATTTTCCCTTTCTTATATGGTTTACTTCTTTTTATTTATTAATGCATAAATAACTGCAGAAGTTAAAGTCTCAGAAAGTAACTTGTAACTTCAGTCAAAAGTCGGAGTGATCCCACTATGAATAAGGAGACATATTTACATGTGTGTGCTCACGGGTATAAGCACTTATGAATGTAACTCTACATAAATGCACATATATTAAAAAGCCAGGGGTATTTCATATAAATAAGCTTTTTCTGGAAGGACATACAAAGAACAAGTGCCTATTCTTATCTATCTAGGCAGTGACCCCTGAAGGTTATAGGATCAGAAAGGGGAATTTAACTAGTTTAAAATTTTAAAAATAAAAATAAAGTTGGCTCAGTTTTTCAAAGCTCACTGGTTATCAGTGGAGCATACTTTTCCTATTGCCTTCTGAGCATCTCCTAAGCAATGTCTGTAGTAAGTTCTCACATATATATCCCAGGCAGCTGCAATCTTTGGTTCTGGTTCCATCTAATTATTGTTGCAATGGCACTTGATGGTAAGGTGTAAGGAGTGAATATATAGTGTTACGGACTTCTTGCATCTGTGATAGTGGAATTAAAAAGAGCCTTCTCTCTTTCAGATGGAGCCTCTACAGAAAGCTCTAGATGTAGCTAGGGAAGACAACAGGAAACTGGCTTTGAGCCTGGAACAATCTCTCCAGACAAATAATCATCTACAAACAAAGCTCGATCATGTTCAAGAGAAATTGGAAAACAATGAACTTGAGCGACAAAATTTGGAAAGCTTCAAGTAAGGGCAGGATAGTCACAGTGAAATTAGGGAAGAGCCTCTGGGAGAGAAAGTTCGGCCCAATCACATAAGCCAGTTCGTGCCAGTCTTCAGCTTGGAACTGGTACTCCCAGCAGAGCCATGTTAAGGAACCAGACATACCTGATCAGCAGCAGACACTAGCTGGCTGGGGTGTGCTCATTCGGATCTCCTTTTCAGCTCTTCCCTCATCTAGTGTCAAGCTGCTTCTCCACATGAAGGTTAAACCAAAACTTAAAGAATATTGCATGTTTCTGCCAACCCTTTCTTATCAAAAGCTGATGTGTCCTTAAGAAGCATGATTTGGGAAAGGAAGAGCAACAGCCTGGGTAGGAATAACCCATTCTAGGAGTGGGATGACTCCACCCAGGCAAATCTAAACCATCGTTTTCCCTTGGGGCCTAAAATTAGTTAGGTCAAACCCATCAAGTTCAGGTCAAGCCCCTCATTTTTTTTGTAAACTGCATCTAGGTAAATAGGATTTGGATATAAAATTCCATGAAAATTTTTAACCAAGGGAAATGCAGTGTGCACATAGATCTTTATGCCTTTCGGCTAGTGAACATACTGATATGCGAAAGGCATAAAACTAAAAGGCATGTTTTCCAATTTATGATCTGTGCAAATTCTATAATGTAGTAAAACGTTGCTAGCTCAAGAATGAGCCAGAAACTTGCTGACTTGTTTATTGGTTGAAACAAGAGTATGTTTGACTCTTTGAGTTGGATATCTTTATATTGTGAATGACTTTTTGGTTTTTAATGCTACAGGTAAATGCTTTCCTCCCCCCCGCCTTCTGTTAATGGGCTCCAGACCAGTGAAGTTCACCTGGTGCCTGATCTGCTTCTTGTTTGTAAATGACACCTTTTGGACAGTTGCACGTTCCTCTCCAGACCTTCCTTACCTCCTAAAGATGATTTCTAAGGCTGACTTCTTTTTTTTCCCCCGAAACAGAGAACGGATGACTGAGGAATCTAAAATGGAAGCGGAAATGCATGCTGAACGCATAGAAGCTCTAAGAAAGCAGTTTCAAACTGAGAGAGAAACGGCCAAGAAGGCAGCACAACGGGAAATGACTGAGGTATGGAGTCAAGCGACAAGAAGTATCTCTCTAGATGAGTGCCTTTTAAGAGCAGAACCAGTTACAGGATTTCCAAGCATGGCTGCAGTTGTTGTTCTAGTCCCTCTGTGATCAATAAGCCCAATGTGATCAAGCCATCTCTGTGCTCTTCATAAATCAAAACACAAAAAGCTTCTGATAGACAGTTCTCTGCCCAGCCAAGGAGTGTCTTGACGAGAGCTTTCCCATTGGACAGTGGTAACTGAGGGACAGAGGAAGGAAGTGGCTGCCCACTGGGTAGGCATCAAATCGTCTGTCCCTTCAATTCGCTTCACTAGCACCTATCACTCGTTTACCTTCTCCTGAGAGGCACGTATGGTCGGTCCATGCTCTGATGTGTGCTACGTGACCCTTACTTAATTGTGATCTCCACTCTTTACGTGAGACAAATAGGGTAAACAGCAGAGGACCTTTGTTGAGTAACTAGAGGGTATGTACAATTCTGAAGGAACTCAGAGTAAGGGTTGGGTGATAGAAGAAGGGAAACGAAAGTACACTGTTGAGCCAGGCAGAGCTGATGGGGCCAGGACACCCAGTGTAAGGGGATGACCAAGGCTTAGTTACAAAAATGAACAGGACGTGTGAGCAAATGAATAGGATTTCTTTCTCCCAATCAGAGCAGAGATTTTGGGAAATGTCTGAGAAAGAGTTGGTAGCTGAGAAGGTACCAGCTGGCAGCTGACCTTGACTGTCAGAAGGTTAGAGGTGAACTTTCAGGTCAAAGTGGAGTTCTGTGGCTTTCTAAGAAATGGGTGGTATGATGTAACCACCGTTTTAGGAAGGGGAGTCTGGTGGTAGTGGGGAGTAGGCAAGCATGAAGAGAAACGGGAGGCATGTAGACCCAAGGAAACGAGGACAGTTACTTTGGGCTTTCGAAGATTAGGGCCAAGCAACATAGTTAAGTTGAAAATAGAGAACAATTCAATCAAAAAAGTATTTTAATAGAAAAATCATCTAACAGACACTGAATGTTGTATCATGAACAAAGGGGAGGGAGAAATTAAAATAACTCCAAGACTTGCTTGGAGTGGCTGGTCGGTAGGTCTGTATTTTGCCAAATTTGGTATATTTAGCAATTGCAATTTACAGAGACCATTTAGAAAATTTGTAAATTACAAAACACTATTTAAACATTAAAACTTTATAAAGGGAAACAAAAAGGTACACTAAAATTAAAGGCACCTTTAATCAGAGATAGTTGTCAGAATACTTATAAAATTTAAATCCTTTTAACAAGGATCGCTGAAGATTGTGAACTTGTGGGAAGACCCAGGGAAGGGTGAGAGTTGGTGTTGGGGGGCGGTGGTTAGCAGCAGGGCGGGCTCAGGGCGCACCACTCAAGAGTCCTGGCTCTGCCTCTTATTAACGGGGTGTTAACTAACTGCAAATAATTTCAGAGTCTCTATTTCCTCAGTCATAAAATGGAAATCATCATAACTACTTTCCAGGGTTTTTGTTTTTGTTTTTATTTTTTTTAAGTTGGAAAATATATGTAATTATCACAGTGCCTGAACATAATAAGTACAAAGTAAGTGATCATTGTTAGGGCTTACCCAGTTTTGACAAAGCTGTGATTGAGGTAATGGTAGAATATAAATAAAAAGGCCAGCACTGTGGAATGGAGTCAGGATCTGAAGGAGCGAGCCAGTGTAGAAAGAAAATGTACAAATAACCTTAGCGTGTCAAACACTATCAGCCGTCCCGAGTACTGCATTCTTCTCCCTTGTCTGCTGCCACCTCTTCCTAAAAACCAAGCGGCACTAATGTAAGGGTACTGGAGGAGGAAAGGAGCTCTGTAAAATTATTTAAGTCATGTTAAAAGGTAAACTGAGGCATATTAAACATTTTAAAAGTTTATTTGAGCAAAACTCAGTTCAAATCAGGCAGTATCCAATCTGGCAGATAAAAAGGAGCTTCAAGGAGTGGTACAAGATGAAAGGCTTTCAGAGGCAGCCAGGAGCCAGGAACAAGATATATTAGGCAAAAAAGCAGGTTGGTTATAGAAAAAGTACTTTCCTTTAGGGGATGGCAGGGGTCTTATCAGGCATATTACCCAACTGTCTTAGATTGCTTGGTGGTTAGCAACAGTGAACATGCATTTCAAGGTTTTGAGAGAATACAGCACACTAGGGAGACTGCTATGATTATTATAAGGAGGATAATTCCCAATGTCTAGAGTGTCCTTTGGAGACTTGGTCCCCAACACCCAAATAAGGGAAGGACTCTGTTGAAGGAGTCACTTTCTTAAGCCAGCTAGCTTGTTCAGTAACCTTATGTAGCTGAGTCTCAGCTTCCCCAGAAGTGTCAGTCTAAGTGCAGCATGTGGTGTTGGCCCCAGCACAAACACCTCCTTACTCAGCTAAAAGATAATCGATAATATCCTATTATCCAGAACAAGATCAGGCAGAGAGTCTAGGGGTTTTTGTTGGGCAGCTATTTATCAGCAGATTCTGCAGTACCTTTAAGAGTTAAGGAGAGGTTTCTGATTGTAGCCCCATTTGCACATACTGCTAGCCCAGGCACTAGGGGTCTGCCAAAGGAAGCTAATTTTGAATCATGAATGCCTCCTGGTAAGTACTGTTTTCAGTCTGTGGCTCAGGACTGGAAAGGTGACAACAGTGGAGGCCAGTAAAATTTAAGTCTGTAGACCACACCAATTTTATTCCAGTTCCCTTTGCCTATGTCCCTTTTTTGTACAGTACCTGGATGCAAGATTCCCCAGGCTTAGAGTTTTTAACCAGAAGCAGAGAAATTGACCCTTGGGTGTAGGGAGTATGATACAATGGGGAGGGGGAAGAGTTTGGTCCAGAGAAACTGAAGCATTGGAAATCAGGGAGAAGTGTGTGATGGGCAGAATTACAGGATCACCAACATCCTGGCAAATCCACCAGTTGTTTGAAGGTTGGATTACACCCTTTGCAATGGCATCATTTTTGCAGGCCAGAGCAAGGCAAAAGGTGGGCAAAAGAATCCTAAAGACCTTCATGGTGTAAGAATTGGGAAAATGACGGTCATAGAGAAAAGGAAGAATGGAAAGAAACATTCTTGATCTGACATCTTAGGCGGAAACAGTCTACCCCAATGTCAGCTACTTCTCTTCTTAGTCAATTTGATTTTGAGGCCTCCACAGCTCATATTTACATAGGACCGGATGTCAGATGGAGCCTTCTTCAGTTGTGAAATGTGCACCAAAGGTTTGATACCTTCTAATTTGGCAGGGATGTCAGTGCTCAAGAATACTTAGTAGGGTCCTTTCCAGGAATCTCCCTTTTGCAAAAGTATCCACATGTAACAAGAGCTGACTTTAATATGCTCATGTTTAAAGATCTGATGAGAGTTCACTCTAATAGAATTGACAAGGATATTGGGTTATATCTGTGATATACACCATTTTAAGATAATAACTGGAATTATGATTGATAAAAGAACATATCAGATTTTTAGGAATTTCCTACAATTGCTAGAACACATATTAATAACACATTGTACAAATATAAGGCTTATCATCACTTATTTGACAATGCTTCCCATGTTAGTTTAACATTTCTCTTTTACATGGTGAGACACAAATCCTTTGAGATTTTTCAGGGACTGTCTGGGAAATCTCAAAGTTACTTTGAGATCAAAAAGACTCCATTTAGAATTTGATTTGGGGAAGTTGTCAAAACATTTGAACATTTGACTATGATCACAAATTATTATGAAATATTATTTAAACAAAGTGACAATAGAAGTTTTAAAGGCAAATACAGAAAGTTATATAGTTGTGAACAAAAGTTAGCTCTTAAGAAAACCCAGTGTTCTCGGGCGCCTGGGTGGCTCAGTTGGTTAAGCGACTGCCTTTGGCTCAGGTCATGATCCTGGAGTCCCGGGATCGAGTCCCACATCGGGCTCCCTGCTCAGCAGGGAGTCTGCTTCTCCCTCTGACCCTCCCCCCTCTCATGTGCTCGCTCGCTCTCTCATTCTCTCTCTCAAATAAGTAAAATCTTAAAAAAAAAAAAAAAGAAAACCCAGTCTTCTCAATGTTAAGTAATAAAAGACAATATGATGCACAGTAAGTTATTTTGCTAGGATGTAAAATCTTTGTTTTTCAGGGAGATTACCCAAAAGATTAAAAAAAAAAAAAAAAACCTTTCAGAGACTCTATCAAGAACAGACCAATAGCCCAAGAAAGCTCTGTCTCTTTAATGAAGAGAAAACCAAATTCTAATTTTACACCAAATTCATTCTTTAAAAACAGCCACCTTGACCACACATAAAACTCCTTTCTCAAGACTTCTTTTCCACAAACCAACTCTTTTCTTTTATCCATTCAGACTTTGTCCTGTGTCTTTTTCTCTTTCTCATTCTGGAGCAGTCAGTCATTTTACTTCCCTTACTACTTTTCATAGTTATTATTTTGAAGTAACTTTAATTACACATATTGACTAGAATCCTTAACCCTTAGAACCCTTAGTCTAGGTCATTTGCATACTTGGCTAATAAGTGCTACAGCTGAGATCTGAACTTAGGTTGGACTCCAAACAATGCTCTTTAAAAGCAAATGATGAATATATATTGTTTATCTGTTCTAGGAAAGATTGTGTTTAGTGTTAAAAATTAAAACAAAAGGATGAAAACCACTTAGAATTTTGCTCCACAATTCTTAATGAGACATCATTATTGCCTCGCTTACCCTCCTCTTTAAAAGAAAGGTCCAAAGAGAACTAAATACGGGGACAGGCCTAATCATAAGCTTCTTTTCCAGAATGGAAGCTTAAAATGATCAAATTTTCCCTTTGTGTTCCACAGCTGAAGAAAGCCCTTGACGAAGCCAACTTCCGATCAGTGGAGGTAACCCGGACCAACCGAGAGCTGCGGCAGAAACTGACAGAGCTGGAGAAGATCCTGAACAGTAGCAAGGAGAAAATAAAGAATCAAAAGGCCCAAATTAAGCTCCACTTGTCGACCAAGGCGAATAACACTCAGAATGTAGAGAGGATGAAGGTTGCATGAGAAATGCTAAGTCTCCCCTTACTTCTTTAGTATCTGATGAGGATCCAGGCAGGTGGTGGGGTCCGGTGAAGATGGTTCCAGAGTCCTAACAGCAGCTGTGTTCTCTGGGAATTAGAGCTATACCTGGGGTATGGGCAGATTGCCAAGGAGCCTGGGGGGGTTACTATCTCTTTTTCCAGCAGAGATACTGCTGTGTAAATGTGTGGTTTCTCATTAACTGCCGTGTCACCTTCTGGCTCCCCAACTGCCTCTTCCCCAGTGGTTGCATACGACTTTGCTCTTTTAGGGTAGTGGGACAGACAGGAAGGAGGGCCCAGCAGGAGCTATTAACTGTGGGTCTCATATGGGATTCTTTCTGTCATCCTATAGGCAAAAAGAGCAAGCCAGTTTTTCCACTGATCATCTCTCTATGTTATTTCCACATTTACTTTCAGCAAATAGAAACAGAATTGAGGCAAATGGAGCTAATTAAGGATCAATATCAGAAAAAAAATTATGAACAGGTAGGTGATTCTCACAAACTGCATGTTTACCATTCACATAAAATCTCAGACTCAGGTTCACCAACTGCTTCCCTCTTTGTGCCCCACCAGTCACTGAGTATCCAGAAGTTCGTATCCGAAATGACTAACTTACAGAAGGAGATGCACCTGTTGGCCAGGAGCCAATACGAGACATCAGCACGGAACAAACAGCAAGAGCTGCGACTTGAGGCAGAGCGGAAAATAAGGCAGGAACTGGAGAGCCGGTGCCAGGTGAGAGGCTTCCTCAGAGTCCTCTGAGATGAGCAGCAAATGACATGTACTGAAACCCAGCATCAGAGCACCTAGATTTTCTAGATTCTAAAGAAGAAACATAAACCTGCAAGAGGAAGAAGCCTATAGCTGTGAATATGGCACGTGTTCTCAATTTTCAATTTATAAAGTATTCATTCTTAACAACTGAAGCTCACATATGCAAAATACTGGTTCCTAAGACTTCAGAACTGAATTTCTTGTCTTTCAGGAACTTTATAGCCTTTGGTCCTTCCCTGAAGCTCAGCTATCCCTGCTGCTGCGATAGGACTTGCAGCTATACCCAGCCTTCTGAAAAGCATAACATTCTGTCACTGAATAGGGACTTCAAGGGATCATCAAGCTCTTGCCTTCTAGCAGACAGTGTCTCCTGTGAAAAAGTATTCCTTCAGTTCTGGAAAGAGATGTTAATCTCTTCCTCCTCAGGAGAATACATAAAATCAAAATCTGTGATTATATGCATTATGTATACTACTGAGAGTAATAGTTTTTATCTTGTATTTTGGTAGCACCTGAAGTTGGAAAGTATAACCTCATCATACTTTCATAATTTGGTTGCCCATTTATTACAATATGGAAGCTTCTTGTTTCGTATGGTATATTGGGAACTTGTAAAAATCTTTGTATCACATTTTCAGGAATTGGAAGAAACTATCAGACACCTAAAGAAATGTAAAGAGGCAACAGAGCATAAACTGAAAGAAGCCAGTGTGGAATCCGAACAGGTAAGCCACAGACATAAAGACTTAGACAGTCAAGGCAAAATCCTTCATTAACATAGTTGTCAGGAGTGTAACAGGCAAGAACCAGTAACTTAACTAAGCCTAATATCTACTATGAAGAATAATTTTTAGATTGAGATTCTGTGTCCTAATAAAAGAATGTTGAAATACTGGCTAAACCAAGTCCAAGTCTCTACCCCTAAATATAAGGAAGACCAGCATGTGTGTAAATTTTAATGCATTACTGCTTGACATCACTAATAAAAATGGAAGCTCTTTGTTCAGTCAATAACTAGAAATGTAAAGTAGGCCCTCTTTTTTTTTTAAGTTTTATTTTTCTGAAGTAATCTCTCCACCCAACATGGGCTCAAACTCACAACGCTGAGATTAAGAGTTGCTTGCTCTTCTGACTGAGGCAGCCAGGCACCCCTCATAGGCCCTTTTAATTTTTGGGAATTTGCTTTCTCTAATCTTAAATTGGCCTTTTTGAAGGTATTTAAAGCATACATTTTTTAGAGCTGGAAAGGATCTTTGAAATCATTGTCTGACACAACCACTCTTCATTTTCCAGATAAGAAAAGAGATTCTTAAGGTATCATAGTGATGATGTCATTAGCTGGTCATGATTTGTCCTTTTTATAGCCATTAAATGACAGGACAATAGGACTATCAGAATGGTGTATTAAAAGGAATATGGACTCTGACACGCACGAGTTTGAACACCAGCTGTGACACTTGCTGTGCCCTTGAGGAAGTTATATTTACATTAACTCATCGGTTACCACATCCCAGAAAGTCGGGATGGTAAGACTTACTAAGCTGTTATGCTGTTAGATGACTCAGAGTACGTCTCAATAAGTAGTACCTCCCTTCTCATTCACAAGAGGAGACATGATGTACAGGGCCATTTCAAGCATCTTTCCCTCCACCCCTGGTTAAGAGTGCTGGAGAAAGGTGGGGTTGGGCTTGACAGCGGCGGCGGGGAGGGGGTGAGAGTATCCCTGGCATTAGGATATACAAACAGCCCTGGACAGTACATGAGCTTTGTAGCTTTCTAGAGGTTAAATGCCAAGGGGAGCTTTATTTTCTTACCTCACTATTTTGTACCCACACAAGGACCTGGCTGATCTGGGACAAATACTTAGTCGCACATATTGACTGTGGACCTATCCTATGGTGGGCGCTGGGCTGGGTGATGGGACGCTGGATGAACCAAGCCTGAGGACGCCCCTGCTTTCATGGAACTTGCCTTCTCCCAGGCAAGAGAGAAGTACCTGACTTCAGAATCAAAAAAATGAAAATGCTGTCCATGAAACAAATAATCACCTGGGGAAAACAATCATTTTACTTTTTATTCTAGAGGATATGTTCTGGAGCTGTTTTGAAGCAACCTTTATATAACCTAAAAGCATGTCAGCTTTACCTTAAAATACTGAAGTATACCAAATACATACAAAAGTGCCAGGCACATATAGGCACTCTGTAAATAGTTGTTAAATGAATACTGATTTCAGGTCATCTTCAAAGGCAGACTACTAGAAGGACCATGTAAGTCTAACAAAGGTAATTTGGAAGTTTGTGCTTGGGAGCTAAAGTATACAATATTTTGAGGATAAAGGAAATAAAGAGAATGCCATTTACACTAAGCTAGTCCAGTCTTTTGCTAATTCAATTTCTTTACTTTCATAAAGCCGAAAAGAAAGATCTAGTGTAGGGACTTTGGAGAACTATTTAGTCTTAGAGAACAGAACTCAAAAATTCACACTACGGCTTGAACTACCATATTTGTTCGCAACGCCATCTTGTCTTTTTCTTTCTTATTTTCCTCCTGGGTCCTCTCACTTCCATTCACAGCCAGGAAATATGAATAAATGCCTGAAAGCAGCAGGCTTGCATGCATTCAGCTCTGCATTCAGAAATCGCTCCCGTCTATGGGAGTTGTGTTATGCAAAAGGTTGCAAGGATCTTGCACTCAGAATTTGGGTCTTTTAACATCTGGGTCAAAAAGTCTCTACAATACACAAAACATAACTTTCTTTGTTGTGATTTTTACTGATAACACTTATATGTCCAGATAACAGCTAACCTGGAAGAAGCTCATCGCTGGTTTAAGTGCAGGTTTGATGGCCTCCAACTTGAGCTGACCAAAAACCGGTTGCAGAGGCTTCCCCAAGAAGATAGGTGGCTGGAAGAGGTAGGGTATTTAGACATGGCTGTCTTCAGCAATTTTAGATTTGTTCCTTCTCATTTTCTCATTGCAGAAGTTCTCTCTTCATCCAGCTCCTCTCCCCACTAATCTTTAGACTTCTTTAAACTGCAAGGAAAACAAACTAAGTTTCTTCCTTAAAAGTTGCACATCTCCCAAACTGTCTGGATTAGAACCACTCACCTTGATGAATAGATTATATTCATAAAGCCAAAATAGGTCCTCAGCTCTGCAGGTAGTTTTGAACACTGTTAGGTCTGTTTTCTCTCCAACAGGACCAAGGTAACCAGCACAATGTTGCATCCAGCCAGTCTGCTCTACATCGATGGGAGAATAAACAGAATCTTAAACTTATGCCCAAGAAGTGTCATTCTGAACGAGAGAGAAAGTGATGTCCTTGACAGAGGCGCTTCTTCCTTTAGAGCTACACAGCCATGATTTCCTGAGCCCGGCGACCAGGGCTGGCCTTGTCCACCATCATCAGAACATGAAGTCTTTGACGTGGGCTGAAGATTTTGGACTTGAGTTTATCGTTTTATGAGCTTGGTGATATCACTAGAGAACCACCCCATCTTTTTTGTCCTTTTCCCCATTTTCCACCCAATAAATTTATATTAATTTGTTGTATGATAGGTGATGCTGTTGCATGATACTTGGCTATTTTTCTAAGTACATTTTATCAAAAAGTACTTAGTAAGGTGCTAGATGATATGGCAACCAAATGATAAACGAGGGCATTTCATTGAAACAAAATATCCTAACATCCAGTAGATAATCCCTGGAACTGGAATCACCTGGAAAATGGTAAAACTCTTCCACAATCATACAAATGTATATCTTTTGTGCTAGGTAAATTACCAGCACATCTTTAGTAAGATGCTATCTCTATTCTGTATTTTATTGCTTGTTTTAAGTAAGTTCTACCCCCAGTGTGGGGCTTGAACTCACCACCCTGAGGTCAAGAGTGGCATGCTCTACCGACTGAGCCAGCCAGGCACCCCCCCATATCTATCTATTCTTATATAAGAGATTGTATTTACAGCTTCCTTGGACATTTACAAAGCAAATTATTCTGTAAAGCAGTCTGCTCTGCTCCAGGAAACTATGCTTGACCATACATTGGTCAAGAGAGATGTTGAGGAATTGGAAGAAACTATCAGACACAAAAGCTACATGCTTTTCCTTACTATAGTAAGCAATAAATTCAGATTTTTAATTTCAGATACTGAGTGGTAGAGTATATACATTGTCTGGATTACCATAATAACTAGCTTAATTGATGCTCAAGCCATGGCAGCTACTGATACTATCAGGACCTAAATCAAGTAAGCAATTGTGAAACTGGAGAGAATATAAAAAATAAGATGACTCTCAGAGGTTGAAGAGCCCACCACTCTTTATCTTATATAAAGAGACAAAGCTGAGTTTAATGCTCTCTGGTAAGGAAGAGCTGTGTTGGTCAGGCAGAGTCCTCCCTGAGCTGAGCAGACTGCTGATCGTCTACAGGGTGTTGGGGACGCAAGGAGTTCAAGGATTTCAAGACTTTCAGAGGCTTATGAGGCCTTTGTAGAAGTGTAGTTAATGGGGGTGAACCTATTAATTGGCTTTCAGGACCAAGGTTATTGGAGTGTGTCCATTCCTGTTGTCGGGCTTTCAGAGGTAAGGCTACACTGATTGGCAGACTGGTAAAAGCTGCCTCAAGTTGTCTAACTCCCACAGGCTCTATCCCTTTGGACTCTTCATAAGATCTAAGATAAAGTCAGTTGAGGGTATCAGGGAGTCAGTGTTGAAATAGTTTAACCAAGAGCCCCACAAAAGAGTTGACTTTAGTCCTGAATTCTTTATAGCAAAAAAGATCCCAGTTACTGCATGGGAGAGATGACCACCCTTAATGGATTGTTTCTGAGTGTTGTCATGACATTGACTGTTACTGGCCAAGAATATGTTTATCTTCATCCAGAACAAAGACATTTTTCTTCACTTGTGTATGGTCTTCAAAGAGTATCATTATTAAAGTCAGTGTAACATACCTTTTTATCATTTTTTAGGTTGGTATACTAAACAAACATTAGCTTGAGAGAAGTGAATTAGAGAGTTGGGTCCGTGATCAGTTCTAGTAAAGCTTATAGTGAGAACTGCCTGTTTAGAGCGATGAATTTGCACCAGTGTTTCTATAGTACCTTTGCACGTGTCTATTGTATAGTACACTAGCTTCCACTGTGGGCCTCTACTTTCATCAGAAACAACCAAAAAACAAAATGTCAAACAGTGGTTTTTAAGACACCAGACATCAACAAAAGTGATCCCTGAGAGAGAGGGCACAAACGAGGTAAACCCTACTATTGCCCCAGCTTACAGCCTTCAGAGTGTTCATGCTGCATCGCAAGGAGGGGAAATCAACAGGGACTCCCCAAATTAAGGAGCCAGAGCCCAGGGAGACATGACTGCTGGAGTCCAGGACCAAGTCCCAGAGAGGACAGAGCTGCACGGAGGGAGAACTTCAGAGAGGTCCCGAAGTTCCTCTGAGTATTCAGCCAAATACATGCATGGGAGGAAACCACCCGAGGCTGGAGAAAGAATCATCCAAAAGGGCCTGAGTTAACAGCACGCACCACACACAGTACCAGTTCCCACCAGCCAGAATCAGAAACCTCATGCTTTCCAGGACACTGAGGGGAGTATACTAAAGAGTATTGGTCTCAGATGTAGAGATGAGTTAGGCCTACAGTGAACACTGCTCCTACCGAACGAACCTTAAAAGCAAGACCCCAAATGACCCATTTCTAAGTAACTGCATTCCAAAACAGAGCTTAAGAATATTTAGAGGAATATAAAAATATATGGCGCCCATGAAGGTAAAAAAAAAAAAAAAAAATTTGTGGTATTCAATCCAAAATTATCAGACATACAAAGAAGCAGGATAATTTGACCCAGAACTAACATAGATGTCAGGAGTGACAAAGACACTAAAACAGTTACTGTAGCTATATGTTCAAGGAATATTACAACAATGGATGGTAACAGAAGATTGAAAATAATTCATAACTATTAAATGGTGGGTGGTTTGCTTTAGCAGTAGAGACTTAACCACATGTGGTAACAGGCTTCAGGGGATTCTGATACAAGATCTGAAGATGCTTTGACTAATTTTTTTGACAACTGTAGTTCTGAAGCAAGGAGACTAAGCTGTGGCTACTGAATTAAGGGCTAGGCAATGGTAGTATGCTGTTTTAACACCTACCCAGCTTTTCATGTTAGTACAAAAAGATTTATGAAAATCTAGGAAGAATCAATCTGGATTCTGACCAGTGATCCCAAAGTATCAGATACAGGTTGAGACTCAGGAAAGGATTCAAAATTGCTGTAAGTTCTCATTTTTTAGAGTGGTTTTAGTAAACCAAAGCAAATATGTTCATTTCCTCTCAAACTTCTATAATTATTGCACATTTTCAAATTCATCTTTTATTACCATCTTTTGTCATAAAGAGATGTATCCAACTGGAACTAAGAATAGTTCCCCAAAGGAAATCTCAGTGATGTTCCTAGAAGGGGAAATGGAGGTAAGTCAGATCAAAACCACAGATGTCTATCACAACCGTCAAAAGATTGTAAGCAGAGAAAATAAACCAACGTGGTCACTACTGAACTTCATTAACACAGCCCCAGAGCTCTGAGTAGGTGCTAGGTTCCTTTCATATTGACACTCCGTTTCCTCCAAAGCATTTCTAGGAGATAGCCACAGGCTGTCAAGTTCTTCCTGGGCTTTTAAAACCGGTTCTTTAATAACCTAGAGAGTTTGAGGCAGCTGCTTAGCTACCTACCCCTCCTATTTCCTTCACAAGCAATAGGAAACAAAGGAAAAGTGAATTCTACATAAAACCACACTTAGTATAACTTGCAGACAATGTCAAATCGTTAAAAGTAAGTAAAAGAAAAATCAGCAAATCCCAGTGTGTGCACACTCACACTTCGGCCCCGCCTCACTACAAGGTTTAGAGCAGACAAAGGCAGATCAAGGTAGAAAAAAGGAAGCTAGTGAAGGGATCTAAGGTGGATCTGACACTGCTGCCACAAGGACTAAATGCCCCCAGAACCTGGGAGTACTGAAGAAAGTGTCCAGGCAGATCAGAGGATGAACTACAGGAAAGGAACTTCCAGGTACACAGGATTTAAAGGTGTGATTTCAAGTGGCATTCTGCAAAATGCATGTCTGCTGGAGGAGGAGAAAAAGGCAAAAGGGAGAAGCCCCCATTGGTAATTGGACTGTTAAGAACACAGGAAAATGAAGTTTTAGGGTCAGTTAAAAAAAAGAAAAAGAAACAAAAAATTGAAGGACTCTCAACCCCACAACACAAAAACCCCCTAACCAAAACACAAGAAACACCCTGAAAAGCACCTGGACTTTGCTATATGGCCAAATAAGGACTCAATAAATTAGAAATATTGCAAAACAACCCAATACCATACACATGAACAAGAGGAAATTTAAGTCCTTAAGAGTCCTGCAGAAAGTCAGGAATGAAATTCCTTCCATATTAACGGAGGAAAATTGCCCGTAATAAAAACCCTCATAAAGGAGGAGAAACTCCAAAGTTAACAATCGAAACAAACTGTATTTCAGATGAACTTTTCAGGATAGGTGAACCACTGTGAAACAAATTTTAAACTAAGGACAGAAATGGACAAAAATCAGAGAAATAAAAAGACTTGTTTGCACTTAAGACAATGGAAAAGATAAAATTATCTCAGAAATGAGGAATAAGTTACAAGATGCCCAAGGGAGAACTGATTCAGATCAAAGTAAGAGTCACTGAAGAAAGGCAGGAAAACAAGGAAATGAAAATGGCATTAAGAAGTAAGAAAGGTCAGGGGTGCTTCACTGCCTCAGTCAGTGGAGTGTGTAACTCTTGATCTTGTGGTTGTGAGTTTGAGCCCCATGTTGGGTGTTAAGAATACTTAAAAATAATAATAAAATCTAAAAAAAAATAAATAAATAAAGTTCAGAGAAAAAGTAATGGAATGGAAGATGGGCAAAGAAGGAATAATATTTGTGTTATTGGGGTGCCTGAAGAAAAAACAGTAGATCAGAAGTAATATTTAAAACTACAGCCCAGGGGCACCTGGGTGGCTCAGTCAGGTAAGTGTCCAACTCTTGATTTCAGCTTAGGTCATGACCTCAGGGTTGTGAGATCCAGCCCCATGTCAGGCTCTGTGCTGGGTGTGGAGCCTGCTTAAGATTCTCTCCCTTTCCTTTTGCCCTTCCCCAACCTCTAAAATAAAAATAAAAATAAAAATAAAATTACGGCCCAAGAACATAGAAAATAGAAAAAAATATATCTGAATCTACATATTGAAAGAACTCACCAGGAAACTGAAAAAAAAAATCAACTTCATGACATACTCTAATAAAACTACTAGATTTCAAAGATAAAATATTGTCAAAGTCTACAGGTAAAAAGATCAAATAATTTACAAAGGCAAAAGAAACTGGCATCACGTTTATAAACCAATGCACTAAGCAAAGTGACAGTGGAGCAATGGGGTCAGCTGAATTCTACAATAGGGCCTAAGATTTCCCACCTTCTAGAAGACATGCCTACATCATCTCTTAGATGGTGAAAATGATGAATTTCATGCTCATGATTAGATTACATGTCACAGTTGACTTGAAGGACAGAGTATCCCATAGATGGACCTAATCGCAGAAATCCTTTAAAAGCCATTTTCTCCAACTGGTTGCAGAAGGGTAAGTCCGAGATTTGAAGCACAAGAAGATTTTGTGTTCTCCTGTTGGGTTGAAGATGGAGAAGGCTGCAAAGCAAGGAATGCAGGTGCACCTAGAAGCTGAGAGCAACCCCTGTCTAAAAGCCAGCAAGGAAATGGAGACCTCAGTCCTAAAACTGCCAGCAACTGAGTTCTGCTAACAACCAGAATAAGCTTTAAAGTAGATTCTTACCCCAGTCCTTCAGAAAGGAGCCCAGTTCTGCCAACCCCATGATTTCAGCCTGGGAAACCCTGAGATTTTAGCCCCACTCTGGATTCCTGACCCACAGAAACTGTGAGATAGTAAGTTTGTATTTTTTTAATTTTCTTATTTTTCATTTTTTAAAGTAAGCTCTATACCCAACATAGGGCTTTAACTCACAACCCCAAGATGAAGAGTTTGCACGCTCCACCAACTGAGCCAGCCAGGAAGCCCGGGTTTGCATTGAAATTTGTATTATTTTAAACCCTCAAGTGTGTGGTAGAAGCAATAAAAAGTTAATACAGTGATAAGTAACCTTATTAAGAGTTCAAAGGAGTGATCATAAAGATGCTCACCAAAACTGGGAAAAGAATGAACAGTGAAAACTTAAAAAAGAGAAAATGTAAGAAAATACCAAAGAGAAGTCACAGGGCAAAAGAATACAATAACTGTACTGACATATACAGTAAAAGTGTTCAATAGCAGACTACATGGGCAGAAAAAATAAAGGATTAGTGAACTCTAAGACAGGGCAGTACAACTCACCCCATCAGAGCAACAAAAAGAAAAAAAAAAAGAAAAAAAGTAAAGATAGTTTTAAGGGACTTAGGGACAACATCAAACATACTAACACTCACATTATAGAGGTTCCAGAAGGAGAAGAGAGAAAGAGAAAATGGCAGGAAACTTATTTGGAGAAATAATGGCTGAAAACTTCCTAACCTGAGGAAGAAAATAGACATTAAGATCCAGAAGACCAGAGAGTTCCAAATAAGATGAACCCAAAGAGACCCACCCTGAGACACATTACAATTAAAATGTCAAAAGTTAAAGGAGAGAATCTTAAAAGCAAGAGAAAAACAAGTTGTTACATACAAGGGAATCCCCATAAAACTATCGGAGTTTTTAGAAGAAATTTTGCAGGCCAGAAGGGAGTGCCACAATATATTCAAAGTGCTAAAAAAGAAAAAAATTTCTAACCAAGAATACTCTACCTGGCAAAGTTAATCAGAATTGAAGGAAAGATAAACTTTCACAGACAAGCAAAACTAAAGGAATTCACC